GCTGCGTCTCCCCGGACAACGGCCACTTCCGCCGGAGCGCCGGGACACTTCCGCTTCCGGCGTGACCCCGCCGTGCGTGCGTGCGTGCGTAGCGCCGCGAGGGCGGCGTGCCGCCATCTTGTCTTGGCTCGGGGCGGGGGCCGCGGCTCCGCCCAGGGACCGGCTCCAGAGTCACAGAACTTCTGTGGCGGGAGGGCTCGGGGGGAGGGAGCGTAGGCCACCGCCGCGTTCGTCTGCGAGCTCCAAAAGATTTTCGCGTGAGGAGACAGAAACCTGCTGGGGCTCAGTGCAGTGCAGAATTAAACTCGGGTCCCAGCCCCTGCCGATATTAACAGATCGGTTTGGTTTTAACCAAGTCGTCTCTCGTCAGCGCCGCTGAGCCTCCCAGCACGGCGGCCCAGGGCCAAGCCCACCGACGGCTTTAGGACCCAGTGTCACGGGAGCCGGTGGAACGCACGGGCTGGTCTGCTGACGCTGCTGGAGGTCGGCAGGCATCTCACTGTTGATTTAAATTAGTTCAGGTCGAAGATTCTTGCAACGAGGGAAATGTCGTCCCGAGGACTTGACAGGATGTTATGATTGAAGGGTAATTGAGAGGGCACAGAAACGCACCCTGTAATTCGTTCCAAAAGCGTGTTTTGGTATAACCCAGGATCACAGCCCTGAGGGCCTGCTGTGACCAGGACTTCCCAACAGCCACATCTGTCTGCCCACTATAGAGAAGCGCAGAGTCAGTTTGGGATGTGTTTTCACATGGAAATTAAAACTTCAGCGTAAACTCAGGGTGGGGTGAGGGTAAAAGTCTGCAAACTAAAGGTGTATTTTTTAAAGCCAAAAAGAAAGGATGAGCTCTTGTCCATCAGCATATCTACCAAAGCTCCCAAGCTGAAAGGTGAGATAAATAGTCTGGTATTTATTTTAGGAAGTAAGATAATACTCCTGTCACAGAATTAGTTCTTACTTGAAAGCTCCCAAGCTGAAAGGCGAGATAAATAGTCTGGTATTTCTTTTTAGGAAATAAGATAATAGTCCTCCTGTCACAGAATTAGTTCTTGCTTCCTTTCAGTTTAATAGTTAAGCTTTAGGAGTATTTGGGGCATTTTGAAACTGAACATGTACTTCAAATGCTGATACCCCCATTTTTTACAGTGTTCCTTAAAACTGCCAGCACCACACAATGAGATGTTTCCGAAATTTTGTGTCTGTCAAAAAGTGAGTGAAAATTATGCCCTAGGAGAGTATGAACCACACACACGTACTGGAAAAAAGCAAGGAAAACACTGTACATACATATAAGTAAAGGTAGCTGTCTGCTTTATTACAGAAATGGGATTTCTGTCTTTTTACTAAGGGACGCTTCTCCAACACTGTCCTTTCTTGTGGTGCACATTTTCTTGCTTGCAATTTTTTCTTTCAAAGTCCAATTTGCATAAGCATTAATACTGAGGACATAATAGCTTAAAGATCTGAGGTTTACACATAGAGGGAAAATAATTAGACCAACTGCTGCAGACCAAACAGGCTTGAAAGCAAGAGTAGGTAAGGAATCTGAGTTGGTGCAGACTAGTCAGGAAAAAGCCACGCCGTTTCCAATTGCCCTCACCTTTGAGTTTAGGCAAAGTGGCATTTTCAACTGGAAAATAATTTTCCTTCTGGCCAGGGACTGCATGAGTTCACCGCTCTGGCCTCTGCTGTCAAGGCCTAGAGTCTCCCGTACCGCAGCCCTGGCTGGTGTCGATCTCAAATACAAGTGATGATATTCCAAACCTTTCAAATAACGGATAGCTTTCTGGCAGTGTACCTCCATCCAGAACAGTTCCGTGGATTTAATCCTAGCATAGTAGCCTTCCTCCCATAGCACAAAATCAAAAGGTTTGTTGTGTAAAACCGCATTCGTTTTTATGGTGACTATAATAAGTAATCTGTTAATGGAACACAAATGAACTCCCAAGAATTATAGTCAGGCTTTATCTTATGTAACTCAAAACAAACACACTATCCCAGTGCTAAAGTATTCGAAGGCACATTTCTAACAATGCCTGCCAGTTTTGTTGCACAACTATTTTCAGTGGCTTCCATTTTTCTGATTTTTAATGCCAAATGCATGTTTTCAGGACAAGGTCTAGTAAAATAATACATTGTTTTGCATCTATTCAAAAATCTTGGACACATTAGAAAAGCTCTGTTTGCCAGGGAATGATCTGAAACCTAGCAAAGAGGAGGACTTGCAGAATATGGTCTTTTGTTGCACCCATGAATAGACACCAAAACTTGGTCATTTGTGCATCTTAGATGTCTGCAGCTGGACTTCTCTCCCCCAGATTTCAGTCCCACTAAGCAAACTCCTTCACAGGCAATGTGGCAAAGGAGGAGAGAAAGAGGACACTGACTGGGACAAAGGGGCAATGCCAGGACCTTCACCAAGACCAAGGTTTCCACTCACATATAAATCTGACAGCCTCAGAGTTATGACATTCTGCATACTCAATAACACAAACGTGAGGCAGAAGAAAATGTGAGAACATTCAAGTCAGGAAGATAGGCTGAGGTCACCCAAGCAACTTAAACCTACACCTAAATTTGGGATGTGTTGCTTTGTAATCTTTGTTTTCTCAACGTGGAAATTTTTATTTAAAAATATGACCACTTGAAGCAGTAAAAACACATTTTAGTATTGCGCACATCTCAAAGGCCTACTCTAATCAAACTTGCATTAATTGTTACTGTGATATTTTTGCACTAATTAGAACAAGCTTTTGTGGTATGAAAAAAAACAACATGAAAGGCAGGAAGATTTATCTGCCTCAGATCATTTAAACAACACTTAAGAATTCCACAACATTTTTTCAGCTTCAAAGTAGTTAAAAGTTGTTAACTAATGATTCCTTCCAGCAACGCTGCAAGATAAGCAGATACTTTTGCTGTGTTTTTTTTACTGAGGGGAAAAAGGAGACATTGCCATCCCTAGGCCATGCAGGGAACCTGGGCGAGAGCCAGCTCCAGAACGCGGTAGCTTTTGGGCTGCCAATTCTGTATGGTCAGGCCACTCCTCTCCCTTAAATGTTAAACAATAAACACAGAGCCACAGGCAGAACCCTGATAAAAATAGCGTGCAATGCGAGGCAGGCTTTTACTTTTAGGCATTACAGCTTTAAATGATTAACTGCCAAGAAGAGTCTTTGTCTGTCTTGGTCCAAAACCACGCTCTGTTGAGCCAACACATTTAATAGGTACAATATCGCTAATTCACACTGTACTCTTTGTGCTAGTTTAAGAGATCGCACTGAGGAGGTACAAAAGCATAAAAATGCCAGTCCAGCCCCAAAGCAAGCCTTGGTGTCTCATCGTACACATAAATTAAAATATTAAAAGATGTAACCACCTTAAAGACTCCTTCAAAATGTCCAGCTTGCATCGCTGACACCCCAACACTGCTAGTCTGTTAGCATAAATAAATCATAAACTGGCCCTGTCGTCAGCAACTGCACCTGGCCTTGCACACTGGCTACGTATCAGGGGAACAGACTGTGCTGCAATTTTTATCATTTGGTTCATGACATGGCAAATAATGCAGCAGCCATGGAAACACTTAAGCAACTTCCAACACAGCTGAAAAGCCTGTATTCTTGTACGATATCATTTATGACTGACTTAACATCTAATACTTAAGGTTTCATTACAACCAAGAAAATAATCCCTTTTGCTCTAAGAATCACATCCAGGAACTGTTTTTTAGACCAGGATGTAGCAAACTGTAGCTGAACTCTGTTCTGAACATTTGAAAGCCAAATATTTACAATTACCAGAATGGTCAACAACGAAAGGCATCAGGGTTTGTTTCGGGTTTTTGGGTTGTTTTTTTTTTTTTTTTTTTCAGGTAAAAGCAATTTAGGAGTCTGCAAAATAACTACAAGTGAGATTTAAAATGTTTCAACCCTAGATGTATTCACGGCCTTTGAAAGTACATGGAAGAGAAAACAGAGGGTGCTGGAGAGCAAGGGGAGGATGCAGACCTCAGCAGTCTAGATTGCAGCTTCTGGTAGGTAGGACTGCCCATCTTCCTCCAAGGGTACTGAAAAACTTGAATAGAGAGAAAAAGAGGGAAAAAAAAAACCCAACAAAGGTGTTTGGTGGTATGCAGAGCACATCCTACCAACAAAGATATATTGAAATATTGCTAGAATACAGAGATAAATACATCGTATTCATCACAGAGTAATGAATAATTACTACCATTCCATGAAAAGTTTAGTTTATGAGTACTCTCAATTTGATTTCCATGTGCAGAGAAAAAAAAAAATCAGCAGCTTACATAGCTGTAACGCCTTTCCTCCTGTCTTCTCATATTTGAGTGAAAAGAGAAGAACAATTAAGTTACTGGAGCAGCATTTTTAATTCATTAAAAAATAAACAACATCCCTCTATTTTCTGATATGTTGCAATTCATACAGGCTTTTTGCCTCAATTCAAATATATGGGACTTGCCTGTAAGAAGCAATACACATCTTATATTAGAATTCAGAACGCAATACTGAAAGGGTGGGCTTATTTATTCAATTAAAAAATCACACAATCCAGCGGCCTCCCAACCCTCACAAATCCTGTGTGCGTTTTGAAGCCCACACAGGCATGAACAGGCTCAGTCTATTGCAGCCGGATTCAGTTACGCTTCAGGGAGGCAAGGGACAAACACAACTAGCTGCTGGATTTGCAGTGAAATCTGTACAAGGTGTACCAAAACATTTCAATGCCAGTTCGAGTCACTTAACTACGACTGAGATGTCAGGCGAGCAAACAGCATTTCCATTTCCCAGAGAGAAGGGCTAAGGCCATCGGCCTGGTAACGCTGTCAAATGGCATCTTCAGCCACAATTTAAAAGATATTTAAAAAAGCCCAGAGAAAAAATGGTTAGGTTTTAAAGTATTAACTTTATTAATAAATATACATCCATATGATGATGTAAATACAGATCATGAACACTACTCCATTCCCATACACATAATTGCACACGAGTAGCTCAAGTTCATGGACATAAAAACATACACAGTATCTAATCAGGCTTTTTACAGCAGAGGACGGGGTGCTGATACTAGTTATTTAACAGATTACTGTTTCCCCCAAAGTAAACCTGTGGAAAAGCAAATGATGAAAGATTAAAGTATCAGAAAGTGGTTCAAATTTCAGAATACAGACTCTTCTATTGGGGGGAAAAAAAAAATCACAAGGAAAAAGGTCTAGTCTCTACTAAAGTCATAAATATATTTAAGCAGTGTTAAAATATATGCATTAAAATAGAGAAGAATAAACTTTTGTGGTCAGAAATGAAGTCTGCAGTTCAAAGTATTTACGATTGTTATCAACTGTTTTAACTGCCAACTCTAAGTATAGCGTGAAACATTATTATACATGTAACAAAGAACAGCAGAGTCACAGCTAATGAAACCATCGGACAAATGACTTCACATTGCTCTGCCTTTTAAAGCTCTTCAAAAATGGGGGAGGGAGTTAAATTCTCATCGGAGTTACTCTGTGTATTGTAGTTCCAGGTAATTCTTTCGACAGACACATCACTTTTCACTGACAAGGCTTGGTTTTGTCCTGACTGAACTCTTAAGATCTTTCAGACAAAAGGAAAATAAATTCATTCAGAACAGAGATCTTTAATGGCTCTTGATACACAGTTCTTTTGATTAAACTAAATCCAAGATATAAAGAACATTGCTTTAATGACAAAGCTAACTGCTGATTTTAAAAATACTATCTTTGATATCAGTCAGCCACTTCTGATGGTATCTGATATTTTCCTGACAAAATATGGTGCTAGCATCTTGAATATGTCCAGTGCAAGACTTTATAGTAGCAAAATTATTTGGTTTTAAAGTTTAAGTAAATTTAATCAGAAACTGAATAGTAGTTACTATATGTATATTAAACAGTGAACTTGTATAGCATCATTAAGGAATAATAGCAAGCTAATACATTTCATTTATGTATAAATAAGACGTTAGAAACTTGATAATTAAAAGAAATTATTAAAAACAAACTTGACATGTAGATCTTCTGAACAGTGTTAACACACAACAGTGATCCTAGCTTATGAATAGCTGAATTATGATATATAATATAAAATAAGCAATTTACCTTACAATAATGTTTTCATACTATGGGGGGAAAAGGCCAGTTTTCCCACTGGTACTAATAAAGTTTAGGCATTAACATGCTGTTTCAGTGTTTCTCATGGAAAGATAAGTGTTGACAAAAGCACAAGGTATTCTGCAGATTATACATAGGAAAAGCAGAAGTATTTGAAAATTCCATTTCTAGTTCACTTTGAATCTCTTCACTTCTTCTTTCTCTTCCCCTCACTGCACGGCACCAGTAAACTAGAGTCAGATGTAAAATAAACCAGAATTGGGAAATGCCCAGCAGTGCACTTCTGGTCTCCTTGCTAAATCAGGAGTGCCAAGCAGCCCATTACAGACTCTCTGAACACTTCTACTTTATGCTCCTCATTTCACAATTGACAACGTTAATTGTTTTTTACTGGGATTATATTCCACCTGATATAATTAATAAACACTGTAATGAACAGAAATTGCTTAGATAATTTCATTATTTCATCAGCATACTTGAATACAAAATTCATTATACTAGCAGAACAGCAATATATCTGCATTATCTCCTGACACACAGCACAGCACCGTCGAGTAGATGCACAAGTGAGGAACGGAACAGGAGCAACCAGGATAAACAGGAGGAGGTAAGAAGTGGAGTTTCTCCAAGGTAGAGTGGTGACATGCAACACGTTCCTTGCCAGCGAGGTGGGACACTCCTGCAGTGACTACATTCCGCTGAAGAGGACTGCTTTCCCAGCTGAGTTCAGGAAAGAACTTAAAAGCAGTCTTTTGTTGAAAAATCATCTGATTAAAAACAGCCAATACAACACAGATCCTGAGGGTGAATTAACTCACGTTAGCATTTTGCATGTGTCAGAAGTTACATCGTTCTGAGACAGACTGCTAAATTTCAGACTTGCAAGTTTGTTGAGGAACAGAACATAGAACTGGATTTCATAGCTTCAGCACGAAGAAACTATTTTTTAGTAGCAGTTTAGCTGCCATTAGTTCATCTATCGACTAAGGAGCCATCCAGTATAGTTGAGGTTCATTGTCTTAGTTGCCAGTGCATACACAGTTCCCCCAAAACAATTCAACACACCTATTGTAAAGTACAGCATAAAGTCCAGCTCAATATGTGTTAGGCATCACTGGAACACCTGAAGGCTTGCTGCTTTTTTCCTGATAAAAAAGGTATGAAACATGACATCTGTTTCTTAAGTTGTCATCATTGAAATCAAGAGTTCTCATCAAAATGACAGCAGGCCAGAAAAGCATTTATGTTAGCAAAAATTATCAGCATCATTACTCATTCAGCACAGGCTCAATTAACCCAAATACGCTTCCCCAAACTCTATATATTCCCCCTCCCCGGGTATTTGAAGCTACAAATTTATCATAATATCATATTATACGTGAAGCAACTTAAATGTAAACTTTTTTCCAGATGAGGGGGAAAAAAAAAAAGCTTTAATTCCAGTAAAATAAATTTAGAACAAACAATATGTAACATTGAGGACTGATTTTTTTTTTTTTTTAAGTCTAGGTTAAAGTATTTTACATACACACACACACACTCACACTCTCTCACTTAAAAAAAAATTAAACACACCCACTTGAAAAATGGAACATTTCTTTTGGAAGGAGGGAAGGTTTTAGCTTCAGCCAAGAAAGGTATTTATAGTTAACCAACGACATTTTTTTCCAGCTTGCATGCATAGATTAATTGCTTTATATCTGGGGTCTAGCAGTGCACTAAACTGCATCCTGTTTGAATCAGCTATACAGTTTGCTTTTATAAATCATGAAAATGGTGTCCTTTGGTAGATATATAAGCTTCCATAAGTTAAATATAGTATAAGCGTCAAACAACGAAATAACTGTATTTTCAGGAATATCTGGCAAAACTAAGTCTGAAAACTTGGCAACAGTGTCTATTAAAAAAGTTTGATTTGTAAACATTATAGATTAATACTTTAAAAGCTATTAAACTGTTGCCACCTAAGCACAGAGTTTAAAGGCAAAAACCAGTGTAAATAGCTATTTACAGGTTTAAGAACATACTATTTAATATTAACCAAGTGCATAACTAGGATGAACAGTACTTAATTTCTTATAAAATATTTCAAATTTCAAAGAATGATTTGTGGTTTGGTATATGTACTATTAGGCATTTCAAGATTACACAGCAGAATCCTGTAACAGCGTAATTAAAAGAACAGCTATCACCTACAGGCAAATTAGCTCGCATTAATAAGGCGCCCGTGAAGCTGCAATGTGTTGTACAAACACTCAGTTTTCTTTAATATTTTCAAAAATATTTTTGGAGCATTAGTTGAAATCAACTTAATGCTACAACTCCAGAACCAAAAGCTACCTGAAATCAGCACTTTAAAAAAAGGTGGGGCTTTTTTAGTTTGCTTGTTAGTTTTTAAGTATCTATTTGAGGTCTGTAGAAGCTCCTGCAGAAAGTGGAAAATGTAGCTTGCTGCTTTATCAATTTTCCTTATCAGGTAAGAACTCATCTGGCCAAGTTCCTTATTGTAAGATCGGCCACATCACAAACCAACACATCAACCAACAGCCAGCTAATTCTGTCCTCCTTACTTCAATGATTTACTAACCACACAACTAGATTTACCAGAAATTGAACATAAAACTAGGGACGTGGACAATACTCAAGTATCGACACGAAGGCATAATGCATCACTTCAGACTTTCTTATAAATTATGATTTAAACCCAACAAAAATCCCTTTAAACCAGTGCCTTCTCAACATTGCTTTAAAAGTTACTGAATTGCACCTGTGGGCTATGGCATTATTTGAATGAAAAGAAAATCTAGAAACTCAGGCAAACACTACAACAAAATGCAAGAAACATGCCAAAATTCAGAGTAAAGCAGATTAGTAAGGAGTTACTAATTCCCTCCTTTCATTCATTAGGCTGTTTGATTTTGCTGCTAGTTTCACCAGCAGCATGTACTCCTCTGTTATGCACCATAGGATAGGGAAAAGCTGCACTGCCACAAGTATAACTTAGATTTGCAAGCCGTGATAGAGCTTTAATGCTACCTGGAGGTCTGCCTGGGCTGACTTTGTATCCTGCTGCTTTAGTTGTGCCCAAGGGTCTGCCTGGACTTGTCTTAAATCCAGCTGCTTTGGTGGTCCCCAGGGGTCGACCAGTGCTGGTTCGGTACCCTGCCGATTTTGTGGTCCCTGATGGCCTTCCACGTTTACCAGAGCGGTTGAGGTTTTTCTTTTTCTTTAGTTCATCTTTTGTCTCTATATTCCTGCCACTTGTGGTCTGCAAGTGCGATTCGTTCAGCGCATCTTGTCTCTGGCACGCGATGGGTTTGTGGCCGACCGCGTGGCTGTATTTACTCTGCTGCGTGGCATACAAGTCAAACTGATCGGCGGATCTCACATTGTCTTCGTTAAGGCAAGAACTCTTGCCGGGCCCACAGAACGCTGTATTGCTGCTGGCAACTGGGTGCATCATTTTCTACCAAAAATAAGAGACAAATATGTATCAATATATAATAATACTGCAGCGTTCCGCAAGTGAGGATCTTTCAAAAGCGACCTCTGTTTTCTTAAAATTAGGCTGAACTACTTAATCTATTTTTAGTTAACAGTATTGATGTCACTAAATTACTCTTTAAAATTAGTTTTATTAAGCTTTCACTTGCATGGTAACCTCTACACATAGTTAAAAATGACAGTTTAAACCACGTACTATTCAGACAGGTGTAATTAGGGAAGAAGTATGCTAAAGAACTGAAGGAGAACATTTCAGCAACCGAGATACAGTATCCACTCACCCACTATGATTTCCAAACCTTTCATACTGAATCTCCTCTAAATTCTAGCTGTTTAACCTATCACCCATGAGCCAAGGAAAAACATGGTATCACTCTCTTGATTTAGTAGATACAGGCTCCTAAAGTGTGGTGGGTTATTTGGTTTAACTGAAGCAAATTAATAAAACACTAATTAGTTTTGTCATTTCTTGTTGCAATTCATGTGAAAGAAAGAAACAGGTGAGGCATTCAGCAAAGACAATGGTGCCATAGTTGGGAAAGCAGAGGTATGAGATGAATCTGTGACAAAGTACAAGATGCTAGATTGCACAGCTGCTGTCTGTGAAAGACGACTTGTAACTCCCCCAAAACTGAGAAACAGGCCGAGCAGGACATGATGCTGTCCTAGCTAGAAGAGCAGGTACAAATTGCTGGTAAGGACAACTCTGAGACAACAACTCCAGGAAAAACAACACGACTCCTGTTACAGACGTGCATGTTGTCACGCATCTCCAAATATTCCGGAAAACAAACATGGCCCATCCAGGTCAGCAACTGTTTTATACAGCCTGTTCTTTTCCTCAGACAAAACCAACTTGAGCTGTGTTCTGTTTACAGAGGCTTACTTGTTTAAACAAGACTCAAAGCCCTGTCTTCAGGACGGTGGAAGGGTGACTCTCACCTGCGTGTTACTGCAGACTAACTCTGGTTCCAAGGGACAAACTGACATCCAGCTGCTACGCACCACATATGGTCGCCATCAGAATTAGAAGCAGCTATTTCTAAGTAAATTGGTTATGCTTACATCCATCGTATCAAATCCCTGCAGCTTACGTACAGAGGCAGAATCACAATTAACAATATTTCTGGTATTGTAAAACTTCAGAAGCATCAACACTAAAAAATACCAACTGCAAAGATAGCACCTCAAATTTCTTAATAGTGGTCATATTGTAAAAAGCCAACAAGGCACTCAAGGAGCAACTCGGTATTTTCACCCATTCAACTGTATTGGTTCTACAACTTAAATAAGCTCAGTTTAAGATAATAATATTTCACCATAATGAAGACAACATTAAGCCAAGCAGTACCTGGCATGTTGGAGTATTTCTGCGCCCTACAGTCATGCTTAGGACACCAAATATTTCTTCCCAGTGTAAATTAGTAGATAAGGTCTGGAAGATTTATGGTATTTTCCCTGCAGTAGCTCTGGACTATCACCTACAGCAACCCAATTAAATTCAGTAATCAATCGTAGAGTTTAATTTGGCAGTTATGAATGTCTCCTCCCAGCCAGAGAGAAAGCACACAGCAGAGACAGTCTGTTTACCCAGAGTAAATCCCCGTGCCCTTTGCTTCTGATTACAATGGATACATTCCCTGCTGTAACACCCAATTTACCTTGGCTTGTCAAATGCACATTACAGTGTATGCATTACTCTTGTGCAAATATATGAATATGGTTTTATGTCAAATAGTGAAATTATGATAGTAATATAGTCTAAATATTCAATGGTTCTAGCAGAGATTATCCGAGTGCTGCAGTCCTAGCATGTTGAACGGGGTATGGTGGAACATGAAACCACTTTTATTGCAGGTGTTGACTAGCAAACAAACAACTAAGAATAATTAGCAAGCCTGCACTTAGCAAAAGAACAGAAAAAAGTAAGGTACAGGTCAAGAGACCAAACAGACTTTTCAGTGCAGCAATAAAAATGAAGCTTAAAGTTTTCTACAATTAGCAGTCAAATAAATGTTACCTTCCTTTAACCCCACTAGAACAGGCCCCACAATATCACAAAAAATACCTGACATTTTTCATCATACATAATTGCAAACATAAGGGTTCTGATAATGTACTTTTGCTGCCGAGAGAGTAAGCCCAGGGGCTCTGAAAGGCTATTCATCTGTTTGTTGATACACTAGAGGATACTTGGAGCGGTTAGCAGCATTCTTGTCTCGGTACTCACTTTAAACACAGGAATACTGGCTTCGGCCCCAAAAAGCCGCTCCGAGCTCGACTGCCACAAAGAAGGATCAGTTCAACTGCCCAGTATCCGAGGAACACACCAGAGCAGGGAGAAAGCCCTGAATAAAGGGGGGAGCCCTGCTACGTCTCAGGAGACCAACCACCATTCAGACTTGTTCCTGTCTATGTTACACTCTCATTCTCTGCTTTTTCTCCTCATTACAGTCAGAGGGATTTTTCCTACTGACACTATTCATCTTTCCTAGGGAGAACCATCACAGGTACTCCTAGACAGCGAATATATCCTGCTGTAACTGCCAAGCCTTGGAGCTTCATCACCATATGCATGTGGTTTGTGTCTACTGTAATATCTCCGAGAGCTCTGACAAACACTAACTTTACACACAAAACCTGGCTGATGCTAGTTTACCTTCCATCTGGCAACAGCCAGTATCACTGTAATTGATGAAAGAAGAAAGATGTACAAATCAGTAACTGTTTAAAATTTCCCACAAGAGGAAGCTTAAAAAACCCCCCACAATCTTGGTGGAAGACTGCCATCGGGATTTTTTTTTTTTTTTTTAAATACTTTTTAACCATGAAAATTCCAAGTTGTAGCCAAGGTTCGTATTCTGTGGCTTTTGATTTAAGACTTTTTTCCTGAAAAGTTTTAAAAAGGAAATCTGTAATTGAGCTTAATTACCCTAACATGGACATCTCCAGCATAATTTTTACTTCATTCACAATACAGCGGGGAATAAAAGAATGTAGCGAGTCTATCTGTAGAGTGGAAGCAGGTTTCTTGGCAGGGAGATACACAGCGTAAATGAAAATTGGTATAAAATGCAAAGCTATGCCAATTTAAAAATCACACTAGCTAAACTGTATAGCCAAACACATACAACTTTGTGTGCAAGCATTCTTAAACAAAACTGCCCAGAAAAGTTTCCAGCAAAATAGAACTTTGTTGTTTTAAACCTGTAAATAGACACATAAAAGATACTTGCCATAGTTTACTTAAATCAGTTTTTAAACTGATTCAGCTGGCTGGTTGAATGTCTTTGTTTAAACAAATAGTTAAGATGAGGCATTGTAGTAACAAAATTTAGTCATTTTTCAAAAAGATTTTTACTGTAAAGTGGCTATAGAGGATTTTCTGTATGGATCCTTTTCTATCCCATCATTTATTTCTATACAAGTGCTGGGGATGGGAGGAGACAACTGGATAAGCTAGCTTTGGGAAAAGACAGGCAGCATTAGAGCTTCCCATGCAACGAAGCACAGAAGCTCCACCGCTGCTAGAAATAAAGAAAGAAACAGGACCATCCATCCGGGACCTGCAAAGCTTTGCTGCGGGGGGATTTCTGGACATGGTAATGATCCCCCCCTTTTAAAGTACAGCTGCACTGCAACTCTCCTGCAAAGTTAACCTGATTTAGCACTGGAGTGGTGAGTTTGAAGTTTTGTTTTGCCCAGATGACAGCCAGGCTATTGATCGGTCAATACACAACGTACAAGGCTGCCGTTAAGATTTTTTTGTATTTCAGTCAAGCTTGATACCATTTGCTTTCTTCTGCTGGGAGATAAAGCAGAAACCATATTACAGGCAATAGAGACACAGCAGCAAGAAACTTGAGAAATTTCACCTAATTCCAGTGATATTACAGGTTTTGGACAAAGTGCATCCTTGTATCCCTAAATACAGGTTAACATACCACACAGCTGAGACTTTTGTTCCTTCCATAGCCCATCTCTCTCTAGTCTTGAAACTATGCAGGAAATCCCCATTCATGTCCTGTTCCCTACACAAAACTTTAAGATCAAAGCTACTCAAATCACATTACATAAAAACCCCCTCCTCGGTTGTGAACGATGCTGTCTCTAGCTTTCAAACATCACACCCTTTGCCTTCTTCATGGGCTGAATTTAGCTTCCAGCATAGACAAGGTGAAAACTTTGATGAGCAGAAAAGGTACACAAGCTCCCTGGAACAGGCACTTGTTCGTTAGATATTTTATACTGGGTATGGGACCTGTTCTGCATTAAGCAGAATAATCGGTTGCAACATAAGCAGGCAACTGCTCTGGTCTCACCCACCCCAGCCTGGTTAGCACCAGAACAGACCTGACTCAGCAAGTGCTGCTGACTTCTGGTAAATCACGCTTCAATCAGAGCAAAACTAGGAGTACATCCATATTACAACTTTTCAAACAACAAATACCAGGAAAGGTAAACTCCTATCGCCAACAGGGACAGCTTTGCTTTTAATGAAGGTTATTTTCCTGAAGTTTTTCATTGCTGAGCTTTCGTTTCAACAGTATTGAGGGAGCTGTAGGAGGCTGTAGCAGTATATTTTCATCATCGTCCAACACACACAAAGTACATGACATACTATTAAAAACACAAACAGCTACAAGTATTATTTCTGCACTAGTACCCTGAACGTCACTTCTACCGATTAAAACCGCTGGCGTGGAGCACAGGACCAGCTCTGTTCAAGATCTCTGCATAAAGCACGCTCTATGCCACGTAGGGCTGCGGGCCCTGGGGAATACCAAAGGGCTCATTTTCTTTGCAGGGGGGAGTTCAAGCAGCAGCAGCAGCAGCAATATTTTCCCTTTCAAGATTGCAACAGAGATACAGTATTGGTTCTGCTCTTTCCCCTCAGGATAGTGGGTGTGACAAATACTTTCATTGCTCAGTTAGAAGAATGAATTACATCAATTTAAATGTTTTTCAAGTGTCCCATTTATTGTCAGCT